CTCAAATGATCTGATAAAAGATCCAAGTCATGATGAATATAATAATAATAATAATTCGATAGTAAAAGACGATGACAGAGAAACAATTCTAAACAATGATTCTATTGATGGCCAACAACCGAAACAGATATCACGACCACAAACGCAAACGAAACACGCGTTAGACGCGATTGACGAAGAACCTCGACAAGCATCATCACCACAACCAATAATGTCGAATGATACAACTAATGCTAATACTTCACATGGAATAACGTCAAATAACATGAGTAGAAAGGATTATCAAACGAGACCAAGACAGCTTCAATTTAGTCCGTCCAATACTAGATTCAATACAATAACAACACCAAAATCAATCTCATCATCATACACAGGCGAACGGATCCCATGGAGCTCACTAAAACATTATAGCGACGGTTCTTATGTCACTTCACCACTCCAATCAAGTTACATGACGGCTGAAAGTTTTTTCCCCGCAAGTTTAAGTTCCGATAATCATTATTTTGCACATCCTCAACATTCTTATCCCCATCCTCATCCTGGTAGTATAGTTCCTTCTTCGGTTGACGATGGAAGGAGTATGTTTAGTGTGATTATGGATGATGGGTCGAAACAACGTCGTAGGGTTTCATTGAGCTCTGAACATACTGTGAGGTAAAGGAATAATTGGTTTCTTTGTTATGAATAAAATTTTTATTAAAAATCTACTTGTGAATATAAAGAAATCCTGAAAACGTGCCGCTTCTTAATGATGATGACGTTTACGACTCCGACTCCGACTCAGACGATGAACGAGGCATACCACCGTCAAATCGTCACCACCACCACCACCACTTCTCAAAAAACCGTTTCTCGAACTACCAGCAGCGGCTAACCTCGTGGTTCCAAGACCACACTAAACTCTCGGAAAAATCGAAAAAAATAATAAAATGCGCTGTAGCCTACTTCCTCGCATCAATGTTTACTTACATCCCCGCACTAAACTCATGGATCGGTCTCACCGAATCACAAAACGCGCATCTTGTTGCCTCAGTCTCAGTGTTCTTTAACCCTGCCAAAACGATCGGTGGGATTTTCGAGGCGATTTTTTTTGCGTTTTTTGCTGGGTGTTATGGTGCGCTGGTCGGGGTTTTTAGCATGGCATCGGCCGTTTGGTTTAATAAACAGGAGATGTATATTTTGGGGCACGCTGTTTCTGTTTTTGTGTGGTGTGGTGGAAGTCTGTTTATCCTGGCGTTTTTAAAGGCGACATTGAAGAAACCGGCTTTCAATAGTGGTATGTAACTTATTCTGGTTTTGATTTTTTCTAACTAATAAGACTGATAAACGTTGTAATATTAACAATTATTGGGTTTTTCTTTTAATCAGCATGTTCTGTTACTAGCATCATTATATTTGTTGTGCTTACCAAAGAAGGAGCAGTTGTGTTGGGCGAATTCACCACCGAAAAAATATTTCAAGTGTGGACTATTATTATAGTTGGGGTCTCTATAAGTTTTTTAGTTTCGTTATTACTTTGGCCTATTAGCGCTAGTGATAAATTAAAGTAAGTTATTTTCTAAGAATCACTCAATAACCAATTAATGAAAAATAAAATTAAACAATAAAATAATAATAAAAGAGACGAAATCGGCAAAACCCTCACGTCATTCCGCCTCCTTCTAAAACTCCTCACCAAAACATTTTTAATCGACGACGTCCACTACACTGATTCCTCAGTACAAGCAGCAATCGCATCCTATCGCGCCACATTCACATCACTCCAAGTGTCACTCAACGAGGCGAAATTGGAGATACACAATCGCACGATGCAGCATGAATTAGGGTTGTATCGTGAGGTGGTGAAGAGTTTGCAACGATTGGCGCAACATTTGGGCGGGTTGAGAAGTTGTTGTGGATTGCAATGGGAAATGATTAAAGACAAGGATAAGAATAATCTTAACGGAAATGATAATAATGGTGGTAATGAAGGAATCCCGTTGACTGAAGGTGAAACACAAGGTCGTCCTAGTGGGAATATAAGCGAAGAAGAAGAATACGGAGATGTCGGGGTCTTGTTAGAATTCATACATCATGTTGGACCACACATGAAATCATTAGCATTCACATGCAAACAAACAATGACCCATCTTCAAAACCAATTGACACCCAACAAAGCTTCCAACCAACCACCTCCATCATTCACTCTCCTCCAACAAAACCTTGAAGCAGCGCTCTCGCTATTCGAAACCTCGCAAACGCGTGCTGTCACACGACTTTACAAAAAAGAATCCATAAATGGTCATTTTGACGGTCGTCCGAACGAAGAAGTCTTCTTGATTTATTTTTTCGTGTTTAATCTGCAAGAGTTTACGAGGGAACTTCAACGGTTGGTTATTTTGGTTGGGGAAATTAGTAAATCGCAGTTGAAGGAGCAAGAAATGAGGAAGGATTTGAAGTGGTGGATGTTTTGGGGATGGTTTAATTTGTTCTTTTGTTTTCCTAATGCCAATGATCAAGCGGTTGCTGATGAGCATAATAGATCACGAGATGCAAAGATTAGCAAAAATTTTGCATCAAAACCAAAATTCCCGGAAAATTCGCGTAATCTGTTTAATACCCTTCAGACACCGAAACCAAAAACAAAATGGCAAGCATTCACTATGAAATTGTGGGAATGGTCATCACGATTTCGACGATTTGAGGTCAAATATGCATTCAAGACGGCGCTTAGTGCTGCCATTTTGGCCGCTCCCGCGTTCATTGATTATACACGACCTACTTATAGAAAGTATCGAGGTGAATGGGCTTGTATTTCTGTAAGTAGGAAAAAACACATATTCAAATCCATTTTTAAAACAATATTTTATTTTTATGATTAATTTTCGCCAAAAAAGATGATGGTAGTAATGGTTCCAACGGTAGGTGGCACAAATCTCATAAGTTACTACCGCGTCATCGGCACATTCCTCGGTTCCAGTCTCGCGATAATAGCATCCATCCTATTCCCCGACAATGGCCCAATGCTCGCGATTTTCGGGTTCTTGGTTGCGTTGCCGTGTTTCTATATCTTGATGTACACAAAGTATAACAGGATGGGACAGTTCATTCTGCTGGCATATAATCTGGTAGCACTGTATAAATTTAATATGAGGAATGGTAATGGTGAGGATGAGGCGAATTTGGATTTGCTTGAGCTGGCATGGTATCGAAGTATTGCGGTGGCGACTGGTGTGTTGTGGGGTTGGTTCGTTTCAAGTTTTTGGTGGCCGTATGAAGCGAGAACAGAATTGAGAAAAGGATTAAGCGTTTTGATTATTAATATGAGTTGGTTGTATAAGGAACTTGTTAGTCTTTATTCCGGTAAAACAAATAAAAATAATTCATATTCAAATATAAACGGCGGCGAATCACAAGCAACGGCAGACTCTACTCAACGCACCGTCGCCACCCTACACCAAGATCACCTCTCAGAATCTACAAAAGACTTTCTAGACCTCGAACTATTCCTTCAAGTTTCAATTCTCGAGCTCCAGGAGTTACTCGCACAAACACCCAATGAACCCCGTTTAAAAGGTCCTTTCCCCGTGCGAACATACAGCAAAATTCTCACTAGTTGCCAAAACATTCTCGACAAAATGCTATCCATGCGTATCGCGGTCACAAAAGAACAATTTTACGACGCGATCCGACGTGATTTTATAATCCCGATAAATCGCGAACGACGCGAACTTGTTGGTAACGTATTGCTTTATTTTTATGTGTTAGCCGCGGCGTTGCGTCTTAAAACACCGTTGCCGCCATACTTGCCACCAGCTGATCAGGCTCGACGACGAATGGTTAAAAAGATTAGGGATTTGCCGGTGGTAAGGCAGCGTGTTGTCGAGGGAAACGATGAGCATTATATTGTGTATTATGCGTATGCGTTGGTGATGGAGGATATTATTCGGGAGTTGGAGAATCTTGGCGGTATTATGCAAGAGTTGTTTGGTACTATGGGTGGGGAGGAGTTTGATGAATTTTTTACGATACCTGAGGAAAATGTGGCATTAGAATCAGCTTTGATCGATGCTACAGAACAACAGCAGCAGCAATTGTATGATGAAACTCATCAAGAGTCATCGTAACTTTAGCAGAGATAATAAATAACGATGATGAAATATTTTATTCATTCCATATTTCTTGGTCACACGAACAATTTTTTTCTTAAAATCTGTTGTATTTATCTTAACGTCAAAATTATTGTATTTTTACATTTATTCCCGTTAAAAAATTAGAGTTTAGTTGTACGTTTGTACATGTGTTCTTTTTTGTATTATTGATATGGTAGGAGTTCTTTAAAATTATAGCCAAAATATGTCATTTTTATTAAAAATAACTTTCCTTTAAAAGTCAGGCCAGTCAGGTACACAGTCCCCCATTCCCTTTTTAATTAATTACGCAATATTGCGCAAGATTGTTCAAAAAAATAAATTAGATCAGTATGAGTAACGATAAATAGATCTTCGTTATTAATACATAATGAAATTTTATTTTTTGACCGAAGTGTAACCGATTTCGGCAGAACAGAACATTCCATCACATTCCACAGAGTTCTATTATATACTTGATCAATTCCTTGATTCGTTT